GCTCGGGGCCATCATGTTAGATCCCCCCTGGGTGGGCTGGACACATCAAAACACGTGATTCCAGCTAGGGACCACCATGTCTTGCACACGTAAGAACTCACGGTTCCAGTCCACCCAGGGGGGATATCCAAAATGCGGTCGTCTGGGGCGCCGATGTTGGATACCCCCCTGGCCGACCTGGGCACGTGAAAGCAAGTATTTCGCCTGAGACATCCTCTGAATTCTAGCCCCCCCACAGGGCCCCCGCTCGAGAAATCCCCGAACACTGCAACGCCAGCGTTTCGCTCGAGACATCTGGGGCGCCAGTGACGGACAACCATGTTGGATACCCCCCTGGCGGACCTGGGCATGTGAAAACAAGCATTTCGCCTCAGACATCCTCTGAATTCTGGCCCCCCACGAGGCCCCCGCTCGAGACATCCCCCAACTCTGCAAAACCAGCGTTTCGCTCGAGACATCCTCAACGAATTCTGAAAAACAAGCGTTTCGCTCGGGACATCCTCAAAAATAATTCCGCCTGCCCTCTTCGACCTCATCAATTTTCACTAAATAATTCCGCCAGCCGTCTTCAAGTCGAGGCCTGGGGGTTAACCAACCAAAAGAGAGAACCCTGGGCTGGAGCCCTTTCCAGGAAAAGTCAACATTCCAATGTTACCTAACAGCTTTTGATGATAGGTTTCTAGTGGGCTCAAAAGAGAGCATCTTGACGCCCCAAGGGGGTCTGGGCGGGATCCGGACAGATCCGGACAAGGAACCGGACAAAAGGGTCAGCCCCAGGAATCCTTAGGAGTCCTTAGGAATTCTTAGGAATCCATTCCCAGAACACACTTCCCAGGCCACATGTTGAATGCCCGGAGCCAATTGTAGGCCACTTCGTGTTCTTCGTGTTCCCAGAACACAATTCCCAGGCCACATTTTGAATGCCCGGAGCTAGCTGTAGGCCACTTCGTGTTCTTCGTGTTCCCAGAACACAATTCCCAGGCCACATTTTGAATGCCTGGAACCAACTGTAGGCCACTTCGTGTCCATCGTGTTCCCAGAACACCATTCCCAGGCCACATTTTGACTGCCCGGAGCCAACTGTAGGCCACTTCGTGTTCTTCGTGTTCCCAGAACACCATCCCTGTACCATATTTTGATTGCCCGGAGCCAACTGTGGGCCACTTCGTGACCTTCGCGTTCCCAGAACACCAGTCCTGTGCCATATTTTGAATGCCCGAGCTGAGGCAGGCTGAGGCCGAGGCAGGCTGAGGCCGAAGCAGGCTGAGGCTGAGACTGAGGCACGCCGAGGCAGGCTGAGGCTGAGGCTGAGGCTGAGGCAGGCTGAGGCTGAGGCAGACTGAGGCTGAGGCTGACGCAGGCTGAGGCCGAGGCAGGCTGAGGCTGAGGCTGAGGCAGGCTGAGGCTGAGGCAGGCTGAGACTGAGGCTGAGGCAGGCTGAGGCTGAGGCTGAGGCTGAGGCTGAGGCTGATGCTCAGAGGCTGACGCTGAGGCTGAGGCTGAGGCTGAGGCTGAGGCTGAGGCTGAGGCTGAGGCAGGCTGGCTGAGGCAGGTGAGGCTGAGGCTGGGCTGAGGCTGAAGGCAGCTGAGGCTGAGGCTGCAGGCAGCTGAGGCTGAGGCTGAGGCTGAGGCAGGCTGAGGCAGGCTGAGGCTGAGGCTGAGGCAGGCTGAGGAGGCTGAGGCTGATGCAGGCTGAGGCTGAGGCAGGCTGAGGCTGAGGCGGAGGCTGAGGCTGAGGCTGATGCTGAGGCAGGCTGAGGCTGAGACAGGCTGAGGCTGAGGCTGCTGAGGCAGGCTGAGGCTGAGGCAGGCTGAGGCTGAGGCCGAGGCAGGCTCAGGCCGAGACAGGCTGAGGCTGAGACTGAGGCTGAGGCTGAGGATGAGGCCGAGGCAGGCCGAAGCTGAGACAAGGTGAGGCTGAATGGGGGGGGGAAGGGGGGGGGGAGGAGGGGAGGCTGAGGCAGGCTGAGGCCGAGGCAGGCTGAGGCCGAGGCAGGCTGAGGCTGAGGCTGAGGCTGAGGCCGAGGCTGAGGCTGGCTGAGGCTGAGGCTGAGGCTGAGGCAGGCTGAGGCTGAGGAGGCTGAGGCTGAGGCGCAGGCTGAGGCCGAGGCAGGCTGAGGCTGAGGCTGAGGCAGGCTGAGGCTGAGGCCGAGGCAGGCTGAGGCTGAGGCTGAGGCAAGCCGAAGCAGGCTGAGGCATCCGTAGGAATCCATAGGGATCCTTAGGAATCCCTAGGAATCCTTGGGAATCCGTAGGCATCCTTAGGGATCCGTAGGCATAGTTAAGCATCCTCAGGAATCCTTAGGAATCCTTAGGATTCCCTAGGAATCCTTAGGAATCCCCAGGAATCCTAGGAATCAGGATTCCTAAGGATTCCTAAGGTTTCCTAAGGATTCCTATGGATTCCATTGGATCCTAAGGCCGTTGCCACTGTGACTGTCATTGCGAATGCGACTGCGAATGCGAGAACAGCAGAAATCTACAACTGGATTCTCATCTGAATATTAAGGGGAATGCTTCCGGATATGCTTCTACACATCGCTGTTAGGTTGCTTTGCCTGGATAATGTTTTTGTACTTCTGGGGTCTCCAGGCCACGTTATTCATGGAGGACTCTGCGAAATACGCTCAGCACCCCGTGCTGTAAAAGGGGAAACGAAGGTCACCAGACCTCGTTATTCATCGCGGATCCCACATGGGCCGTCCGCCTTCCTCGAGCGGGCACGCGCGAAACGCACTTGTCCCCCGCAAGATTGTTTTTTTTTGTTTTTTCATCGAGCTGGAATTCGCCGGCACGCGACACGCTTGCAAATGTTTAAAACGAATGCGTGCGGCGCTAAGGCGAAAGCCACGTTTTGAAAACGACCCGCCCTCCATCCGTGAAGCCCTTGCAAATGTTTAAAAGCGAATGTGCGCGGCGCAAAAGTGAGAGCCACAGTTAAAAAACCACCCGCCCTCAATCCGTGAAACTCTTGTAAGCCCTTCAAACGAATGTGCGCGGCGCTAAAGCGAGAACCACAAATTGAAAAAACACCCGCGTTCAATCCGCGAAACTCTTGCAATGTTCTGACATTCATGTGCGCGGCGCGAAGGCGAGAACCACGCATTGAAGACCATCCGCCCTTCATCAGTGCAACTGTTGCCACTTTTTGAACTTCAGAACCATCTGGTGAGGAAGTCTCAGGCGAAACGCCGGGCCCGCCCTAAAAACTGGCCTCGGGGTGCGACAGGGAGGAGTTATCTATACGGAGAAGGAATGGAGGAGGACGAGGAGGAGGAGGAGGAGGAGGACGAGGAGGAGGAGGAGGAGGAGGACGAGGACGAGGAGGAGGAGGAGGAGGACGACGAGGACGAGGAGGACGGGGAGAAAGGAGGGCGAGGAGGACGAGGAGCCATCCTAGCCCCAAGGGGCCCGCCGCGGGCGCCTCTGTTCCTCCGCGGCCTCGATCAAGCGCTGGCCCGCCTTCCTGGCTCTCTGCTCCGCCTCGCGGCAGCGGCAGCGCACGTCGCCGCGGACGACGCAAGCGCGACGAGGGCCACGACCACGGCGACGGCGACGGCGACGGCGACGGCAGCGACGGCGACGGCGACCACGACGACGGAAACGACGGCGGCGGCGTGAGCAGCGCTTGAGACGGTGGCGGCGGCGGCTGCGACGGCGACGGCGGCTGCGGCGGCGACGGCGGCGGCGACGACGACGACGGCGACGCGCAAGAGCGAGACTCTGTGCGAGCGTGGCCTCTGGCGAGCGGCCTGCCGCTGCCGTTGCGCTGACGGTGCGGCGGTGGCGGCCCGCGTGCTCGGGCCTGGGCTCCCCGCGCCCCGCGAAAGCCGCGCACCAAAGCCCACTCGCGCGAAAGGTCGAGGGAGGGAGGGGAGGGGGGGAGGAGGAGGAGGAGGAGGGAGGAGGAGGAGGAGGAGAGGAGGAGGAGGAGGAGGAGAGGAGGAGGAGAGGAGGAAGAGGAGGGAGGAGGAGGAGGAGGAGGAGGAGGAGGAAGAGGAAGGAGGAGGAGAGGAGGGAGAGAGGAGGGAGGAGGGAGGAGGCAGGAGGGAGGGGGAGGAGGAGAGGAGGGAGTGAGGAGGAAAGGGAGGAGGAGGGAGGATGGAGGGAGGAGGGAGGGGGGGGTGGGGGGGGGGAGGGGGGAGGGAGAGGAGGGAGGAGGTGAGGAGGGAGGAGGGAGGAGGGGAGGAGGGAGGAGGGAGAGGCCAGAGTGGCGGAGGGAGGAGGGAGGAGGAAGGAGAGGAGGAGGGGATAGGAGGAGGAGGAGGAGGAGGAGGAGGGGAGGAGGAGGAGAGGAGGAGGAGGAGGAGGAGGAGGAGGAGGAGGAGGAGGAGGGAGCGAGGAGGGGGAGGAGGAGGAGGAGAAGGAGGAGGAGGAGGAGGGAGGAGGAGGAGGGAGGAGGGAGAGGAGAGGGAGGAGGGGCCGGGGAGGAGGGAGAGGAGGAGGGAGGATAGGGGGAGGGGAGGGGGGGGGGAGGGGGGAGGGAGGAGGGAGGAGGAGGATGGGGGAGGGAGGAGGGAGGAGGGAAGGGGAGGAGGAGGGAGGAGTGAGGAGCGAGGAGGGAGGAGGGAGGAGGGAGGAGGGAGGAGGGAGGAGGGAGGAGGAGGAGGAGGAGGAGGAGGGAGGAGGGAGGAGGGAGGATGGGAGGAGGAGGAGGGAGGAGGGTAGGAGGGGAGGAGGAGGAGGAGGGAGGAGGAGGAGGAGGAGTGAGGAGGAGGAGGAGGAGGAGGAGGCGGAGGAGGAGGAGGAGGCAGGAGGAGGAGGAGGAGGAGGCGGAGAGGAGGAGGGAGGAGGAGGAGGAGGAGGAGGCGGAGGAGGAGGAGGAGGAGGAGGAGCAGGAGGAGGAGGAGGAGGTGACGAAATCAAAACACTTCTACCGCTTTCCGGCCAGGCCAACCTGAACCCAGCAGCGCTGTACACGCCACGCCTTCATGGCTTGGCAAGGAGGGCGTGTGGACACGTATAGATTTCGTCGCCCGACCTTACGTTCGGCCGGGGGAGGCGACGCCAGCCTCGGGTCTCCGAGACCGGCCTAATCACGGCATTCAAGTTCCCTCCTCGACCTCGCGGGCCCATGTCCAGGTCACCAAGCGGAGCTCCTCTTGTCTTGGAGCGGTACCCCCCCGTCGGCAGCGACAGGGGCTGTGAGCCGCGACGTCCGGCGTCATGAACATGATACCCCCCCTGCGGAAGGAGAACCTAAGCAGCTCCACACGGCCACGAATGCTGGGGATCCCTCGCTGGGCGTTAGCAGAACTGTACAAAACCTTTGCAGGCAACCTGCTCGGGGATCTCCTGACCCGGGTCAATCCAGACCCGGGTCAGCAGGAAACCAAAAACTGCAATGCAGGAAAAAAAACTGCAACGCAGGTCTTCGCAAACCCGGGTCAGCCAATATGTGCGGCAACCTCGCGGCCACGAGCGGCTCGCAGACCCGGGTCAGCCAGAGGGGGTCTTCGCATTGACCCCCGTTTGCATTGACCCCCGTTTGCATTGACCCCCGTCTCAAGGCTCCCGACCTGCTCAATGAGTAAATTCGCCGGCCCTGCGCAGGTCGAGGCCTGGCGCTTGGTTTCCTAACTAAAACAAAACCCTGAGCCTATGTCCTTTCCGGGAACATGGTCGACCCACGAACCCGGAAAGAAATTTAGAAATGTAAGGCATGGCAACGTTTCAAAGACACCTGATTGGGCGACGGGCATACGCAATGCTGACTGTACTGATCCTGATGCACCGTGCCGACGGCTGTGCTGTGCTGCGCCGTGCTGAAATTGCGATATGCCATGCCGCAATTGTGCTCTGTAGCGTTGTGGATCGAGTCCTCCTTTGCATCCGAGTCCTGGCCGAACTGATCTGGAAGTTAAGCTCAAGCTGCCTGAGCACATAGTAGCTGCCCCAGAGCTAATTTACAAGGGGACATGCCAAGAAGACGCGCCGCGGAACGTCCCAAGGGACGCGCCAAGCGACGTGCCGAGGGACGTGCCATGGGGACGCACCGCGGGACGTGCCAGGGGAACGCGCTACGGAACATGCTGGGGACAAGCGTTTCGCTCGAGACAGCCTGCCCGAATCCTCAAGCTAGACATCCGCCTGGGCGACCTGGACATGTGAAAACAAGCGTTTCGCTCAACACATCCTCACCATATCCTCATGCTAGACATCCGCCTGGGCGAACTGGACACGTGAAAACAAGTGGTTCGCTCGAGACATCCTCAACACATCTTCATGCTAGACGTCCGCCTGGGTGACCTGGACACGTGAAAACAGGCGTTTCGCTCGAGACGTTCTCAACACGTCCTTATGTTAAACATCCGCCTGGGCGACCTGGACACGTGAACACAAGCGTATCGCTCGAGGCGTTCTCAACACCTTCTCATGCTAGACATCCGCCTGGGCGACCTGGACACGTGAAACCAGGCATCTCGCTCGACGCATCCTCAACACTCACGCTTCTCCCTCCCTGGGGCGTTAGGAACCATGTGGTTTCAAGCTTGCACCGCCCTGGGGCGGTAAGAACCATGTGTTTTCACGTATCTCTCGCCCTGGGGCGTTCGGAACCCATATGGTTTCACGCTTGTTCCGCCCTGGGGCGTTAGGAGCCCATGTGTTTTCGCGCTTCCCCCGCCCTGGGGCGTTAGGAACCATGTGCTGTCACGCTTCTCGAGCCTCCTGGGGCGTCGTGGAGGGCGGGGGAATCGAAAAGCGCTCCCCGAACACATATCCCAATCCAGAACATGATCGACCCACGAACCCGGAAAGGAAGATAGAAATGTAAGGCATGGCAACGCTTCAAAGACACCTGATTTGACGACGGGCAACGCAATGCTGAGTGTATCGACCTGATGTACCGTGCCGAGTGGCTGTGCTGTGCTGCGCCGTGCTGAAATTGCGATGTGCCATGCCGAGATTTTGCCCTATAGCGTTGTGGATCGAGTCCTCCTTTGTTTCCGAGTCCTGAACGAACTGATCTGGATCTTAAGCTCGAGCTGCCTGGGCACATAGTAGCTGCCCCAGAGCCAACTGACAGGGGGCACGCGCCAGGCGACGTGCCAGGGGACGTGCAACGGGGACGCACCGCGGGACGTGCCAAGGGGCCGCGCTACGGAACGTGCCAGTGGACGTGCAACGAGACGTGCCAGGGGACGCGCCGCGCGACGTGCCAGGGGGACTCGCCACGGGACGCGCCGCGGAACGTGCCAGGGAACGTGCCAGGTTGCAATGCTGAGTGTATTGGGGTCGCGCTCCCAGGGCCCCGACCCCTTGTAAATTACGCCGCGTCCGCGCTCCCAGGGCCACGATCCCTCGTACATTGCGCTGCGTCCGGGCCCCCAGGGCACGGATCCCTTGTATTTTACGCTGCGCCCGCGCTCCAAGGGCTACGATCCCTTCTAAATTACATTGCGTCCGAGCTCCCAAGGCCCCGACCCCTCGTGAATTACGCTGCGCCCGCGCTCCGAGGGCCACGATCCCTCGCAAATTACGCGTGGTCCGCGCTCCAAACGCCACGATCCCTCGTAGATTACGCCGCGTCCGCGCTCCCAGGGTCTCCTGGGGCATGCTGGGGCGCCCAGGTCCTTTCAAGTTTTGCAAAACAAGCGTTTCGCTCGAGACATCCTCGTTTATTCTTGCGCGGGGAGCGCACCATCCTCGAGCGGGCACGCAAAAACTCAACATTTTCACGGACATCTTGGAAAACACGATCGACCCACGAACCCGGAAAGGAATATAGAAATGTAACGCATGGCAGCGTTTTCAAAGACACCTGATTGGGTGGCGGGCAAGTGCAATGCTGATTGTATCGATCTTGATGTACCGTGCCGAGGGCTGTGCTGTGCTGCACCGTGCTGAATTGCGATGTGCCATGCCGCGGTTGTGCTCTATAGCGTCGTGGATCGAGTCTTCCTTTGCATCCGAGTCCTGACCGAACTGATCTGGATCTGAAGCTCGAGCTGCCTGAACACATAGTAGCTGCCCCAGAGCTAATTGACAGGGGGACATGCCAGGAGGACGCGCCGCGAAACGTCCCAAGGGACGCGCCAGGCGACGTGCCAAGGGACGTGCCATGGGGTCGCACCGTAGGACGTGCCAAGGGGACGCGCTACGGGACATCCTCAAAATTCCTGCGCGCGGGACGTGGCACGCGCGAGACATCCCCGGAATTCCTGCGAGCGGGACGTGAAAACAAACATTTCGCCTGAGACATCCTCTGAATTCTGGCCCCCCACGAGGCCCCCGCTCGAGACAGCCCCCAAGTTTGCAAAACCAGCGTTTCGCTCAAGACATCCTCAACAAATCATGAAAAACAAGCGTTTCGCTCGAGACATCCGGTCAAAATCCAAGGACATCCTGGCAAAACAAACGAATAAGTCCAGACATCCTCAAAATTCCTGCGCGCGGGACGCGGCACGCGCGAGACATCCTTGAAAATCCTGCGAGCGGGACACGAAAATAAGCATTTCGCCTGAGACATCCTCTGAGTTCTG